ACGCCTAACCGACTGCGCCACCCAGGCGCCCCAAGCAGTGGATTTTAAATGCTACGGTGCCAGAACCTCATCCTTTGTAATACTCTGATTTCTTTGTGGATAATAGCCAGTTTTATTTATTGTTAACACTTTATTTTATTTTTTAATGTTTATTTATTTTGAGAGGGAGAGGGAGAGTGCGAGCCGGGAGGGGCAGAGAGAAAGAGGGAGAGAATCCCAAGCAGGCTCCACACTGTCAGCACAGAGCGTGACATGGGACTCAGTCTCATGACCCATGAGACTACGACCTGAGCCAAAATCAAAAGTCCGACACACAACCCACAGAGCCACCCAGGTGCCCCTATAATGAGTTTCATTGCTTGCCCTGATTCTTCTTCTGAAGTCCAATGCCACAATTCCAAATGTGAGATACATGCTCTGTAGAAAACAGTTAACACAGTTAACAGTTTCCTATCCTTAGAAAAACCAGCTCGCAAGGTTGGCCCCTGGTTGGCCCCTGGGAACTTGGACTTCAGAAGGGTTCCCACCATTCCCAGAACTGCTGAGGGGTTTGCTATACCTAAATTGTAAAAACATGTGATTTATGTTAAACATCTGCTTTCCTTCTGTAAGTCTGGAATTTTGGTACATGCTATGCAGAGGGTGACTTTGTGACAACTCTCCAATAAGAACCCTAAGAACTGAGTCTCTAATGAGCTTCCCTGACAATACTTCACATGTGATGTTACAATTAGCTGCTATAGGACTTTAATTAAGCTGTGTGTAAATCCACCAGGAGAGGTGTAATAAATCAGAGCTGAGAGTACAGTTATGTGCTGGGTCCTATGAGTTCTCCCAGGAAATCACTGAACCTAGACAATTCCTGGGGACTCACAACACAGGTACTTACCAAGATGTCCTCCTTGTCTAAAATTCAGAGACCTCCAAATCAAATCTGCCCATCTTCCCTCTTCTCTAGTCCTGTTATTAGCATTTTACTAATACCACCTCTGGGATGCCGCCTGCAAACAACAACCTTTGCCTTTTTCCTAAATCCCACACATTATATTGCCACAATTATCTCTTAAATCCATCTGTTCATCGTCACTTCCACCACCCAACAACATATGCCCTTCTCTGGACTATTACAGTAACTTCCACACTGACTGCCTTTCCTGTAGACATCACTAACATTCTATGTGTTCAATAAATCTTGCCAGCTCTCAGATCTAATCTTGTCAGTATCCTGAAAAATCCCCAAACCGACTAACAAAAGTCTCTCCTCTTGAAGTTCTCAGTTGAGGTTGCAAAGTACACTCTATATTTTCTGTACAGCTTCTATTACAACCCATACACTTAAGCTGCAGCAAAAATGAGTTCTGATTCTTGCTCTCTAGACAAGTTCAGCACTTTTGTGCATTTTCTCCTGAAATGTTATTCACCTCTGTCTTACATGACTCATCCTCTATTATCCATTTGAAACTTCTCCACAAGCAATTTCTTATTCCCTATTCATAAACGTCCTCTCTCTTTTCAGACATCACTTACCGCATTATTCTTACCATTTTCACAGCATTTCCCACATTCTCACCTTCCCAACTAGACTGTAAAGATTCATCCTGTATTCCACTGGATTTAGACCACAATATTTGCTGACAAACTCACAATCTTCCCAAGGCAATCAAGGATGACTGCAGAAGAAATGTTAACTTAAGCATTAAAAAGTTACATAAGACTTCCAGACGACCAGACAAAACTATTAAAATCAATAGTGAATTATCACTAAACAAACCTACGGTTACATATAAGAACAGAAAGCCAGTTTACACTAATTACCTTACAATTGAATAGATCTTCATTTATAAAAGAACCAGGATGTGAAACTAAATATCCCTTTTAAACATCAACGAAACAATTTGTAGTCCCTCCCGCCAACATTTGCAGTAGACTGAAACACGAAATCTAAACCTGAATCTGTTATCCTGCAAAAAGCTACCAAATGCCAGCCACGTTAAGAAAAATCCAAAAACAAACAAACAAACAAAAAGGGGTTTAGCACCGATTCATCCGAAAAACAGATCAAAGAGAGAATCAGCATCTAAATTTTCCTGTGTCTACAATCCCCAGTGAGGAAGTGCAATACAAGGAAAGAAAACATACAGACCGGGAACAATTTGCTACAGGACAAAAAAGTCTTTAACTGGCCCAGATGAATAGAACAAGCTTGACACTGGTCTCTATCGCCCTAGGCGCAAATCAGGGCCACGGGATTCACCGCCGCAAAGTCTAGGGAGGTGTGGGCCACAACCCTTCCCAACCCGGGCAGCTCCCGGGGCTCGAATCAGGGTCGGCTCGGGCCCCTGCTACGTTCGCCCCGCGAGAGCTGAAGCCACTGACCGACTTGACAGCCGCTTCCTGCTCGTCCACTGCCAGGGCCCACGAGTCGGTGGCCATGATGCGGGGAGCAGGGAGGCTGACTTCGGAAAAAATTCACCGCACCGCGAGCCAACACCTGCCCGGAGTCCGCTATCTCCGCAAGAACCGCCCCCACGCGGACCGGAAGCGGCGGTGCCAAAAGTGACGTCAGTTCCCGCCCGGCGCAAGACGTCACTATTCTGCGCCGCGCCGGTCGTGCGCCGACGTGCGTCTCCTTCGGACTTTCCAGGAGGAGCCTCGTGCTTTCTTGAAATCCCTAATCTCTGCGAAGTCAAACTCTTAGTCCTCATTTTATTGCCTTACTTCACACTGAAGTAACCCAAGTTTTATTTTAAGCCCGTCACATGTCTCAGTGAATTCTAAAGCTTTACACAAAGGTAAGTCCCGTGAAGGTGCTGTAGATGCCAGTTTTTGCATGTTAACAATGCGATAACGTGTAAGAAAACAAAACGACAGCAATTGCCCTTGGACCCCCATAATTCAACCACTCCGAAAAATAAACACAACAGTGTTTTCTTTTTCTTCTGGTTCCTTCCAGTCTTTGTATGCATCAAAGTACGGGTATTTTACATGGTCCTAAACAAAGCACATACGATTTTAAATTAGACCTTTTTATTATATAGTTAAGTATTTTTTCATGTTGTAATTATTAACTTAATGGCATTATAATACTCCATCAAACTCCTATCACATAAATTACCTGACTCCCCTACATCTTTCACCGTGGGGATATAGGTTATTTCCAATATTTTATCACTAATTCTCAGTGAGCATCTGCATACCACCAAAAATCATCTTCTTTGCTTCCATTTCGCTGTTTGTCTCCTGGCCGCTCGCAGAATATGAACTCTTCAAACAAGAGCAAAGATTTTATCTCTTAGTCACAATTTGTGAGCCTAGAAAAGTTTACGGCACATAATAGCCTCTCAATAAATATTTTTTAATGTGTAGATGAATAGACTAATAGAGATTTTAGTTCAACATGTGTTAAGGACACATTTCTAATAGCAACATTTATGTCAAAATATGTGAATGACTTGAACACTTGCAAGAGAGGAAACTAGTGGTCAGTAAGCATGTGAAAAAGAGCTTGAAATCATTGGTTATTAAGGAAAGGCAAATCATAATCACAATGAAATACCACTGCACACTGCTAGAATCGCTAAAATTAAAGATTAACTTTCTATGTGTTGGTAAAAATGTGGAATGTTAAAGAAAAAAAAATTCAACAACATGGTAAAGATGGTAAGGCATAGAGGATAGGTATAGGGACAACTGCAGTGGGATTTTTCAGTGAGGGTGAGATACAGCATGAACAAGAGAAAATTTATAGCCGAGGACGGGGGAGGGAGGGTATGCATGGTCAATGGATGGAAAATTACTACGAAGAAACATAAAGAGTAAGGGGAATTCTGGTTAAGTAACCTAACAGGATTCTTGCTGACAAAATGCCAGGATGATCAGACATCACGGGGAGGATGGTGCAAAGATGAAGACTCTATCAGACATCGAGGGTGACCAGATGCCACCTGTAGGGGTTTCTTGCTAAAACTGGATTTTACCAAGAACTGCACAGGTTAAGTTTAGGAGAAGGTTCAAGAACCCGACTAAAGTCAAGCAAAGAAAGTTAGTCAAGAGCAACTGAAATTCTCATACGCTCCTACAGAAATTGTAAAATGGCACGATTGGTTTGCATGTTTGGCAATTTCTCAGGAAGTTAAATCTACACCTACTCTTTGACCCAGCACATCTCCCAGTTACTATCCAAGAGAAATGGAACATATATCCACAAAAAGACTTGTACACAAATGTTTATAAAAGACTTAGTCAAAATGGCCCCAAATTGGAAACAACCCAAATGTCCATCAACAGAAGAATGGATAAACTATAGTATGTTTATTCAATGGACTGTTACACGACTCAGCAGTAAAAAGGAATAAACTACACATGATGAAGTAGATGAATTTCAGAGACATTGTGTTGAAGGAAAGATGTCAGACATGAGAGATGATTGCTGTAGGATCCATTTATATGCAAGTCAAGAATAGGAGAAATGAAATCTATAGTGAGAACAGTCAGAACAGTGGTTGCATCTGGAGCGGGGAAGGTTGAGCAGGACACAAGAGAACTTCCTGGGTAATAGAAATGTTCTATATCTTGATTGGGGTTCTGGTTACATAGATACATAAATGTGTTAAAACTCATGGAATCGTATATTTAAAATGTCACTTCATTGTATATACATTATACTTTTCAATAACATTTATTTAAAAAATAGGGGCGCCTGGGTGGCGCAGTCGGTTAAGCGTCCGACTTCAGCCAGGTCACGATCTCGCAGTCCGTGAGTTCGAGCCCCGCGTCAGGCTCTGGGCTGATGGCTCGGAGCCTGGAGCCTGTTTCCGATTCTGTGTCTCCCTCTCTCTCTGCCCCTCCCCCGTTCATGCTCTGTCTCTCTCTGTCTCAAAAATAAATAAACGTTGGAAAAAAAAATTAAAAAACAAAAAAGGAATTAAAGTACTGATAATACAACAACAGAAATGAGAGCTTTGCCATCTCATAGACAGGTTGAGCAAATGAATCCAGACACAAAGTACATAGTACATGACTCCATTTATATAAGTTCAAAACAGGTATGTATATCTAATCTATAGTGATAGAAATCAGAACAGTGGTTGCTGGGTTTGGGGGCGGTTAGAATGTTTTCTCAGCTCTTAACGATTCATTGAAACAGAGCATGCACATTCTGTGCTACAGAAGTGAGAATGTCAAATGCCATATTGTCTTCCCAAGTGACCGATCTAATTCCCAGCAACTATACCACCAATGAGTTGAGGCAAACTGCATTGTTAATGAGGAGCCACAACCATGGTGTAACTCTATGTTGGGCAGTGCAACCCTGGGGGAGACTGCTAATATGTTTTCTGAGGAATAATGTTCCTTCTGTCCTACTATTTTAACAATTGCCTAAAGAAACAAATAGATTTTGAGGCACCCTTTCCTCAGGATTTTTTATCTCAAACATCTACACAGAAAACTCTCATGAGAAGCAAAAGGAGCAACACCATAAGACTCAACTGTAAGTTCTTTGGAGGCAGAGGATCTTGCTTAGAGCCGTATTGAAGTCTGGGTGCCCACTGTCCTCTTTTGATTGCTATTTCGTTACAAAGTCTGCTGCTCTAGCATTGGGAGGATGATTCCTACATTGCTTCCACTGAGACACAATTCGTTGTGCTAAATATGGTCTGTAGGGGAACTGAAGTTAGAATTTTTGCTTGCATTGGATTTGTAGGGTGTTTACTGAAAGTTTTCTTTAGTTTACCACCCATATCTGTTGGAAGGCTGGTGGGCATTTGTTTAGTCCAGGTGAGTGCTCTTAGGGAGGTCTAGGCTGAGGCTCCAGCTGGAACAATGAAATCAGCCAGGCTGTTTTAGAGCACTTCTGGGCAACAGGGCTATCTCTTTCCCTTCAGTTAGCATTTATATTCCAAAAGGAGAATATATTATATTCTTCCAGGAAGAAGCCACTGAGAATCCCACTCTTCTCCAGACCAGAGACCAATAGGAAGGGCACATTGTTCTGAAGCTGTGGGCTATACAGCCTCCTGTCCTGAGTCAGATTCAACTAGACTGGGCAATGATAACATAATGCATTAACATTTTTTTAAATGCATCCTACAACAATCTACTTGAAACAGCTAAGTAAATTCTCACATTACTATTGTTATCGCCATTTTACAAGTAAAGAAATAGAGGTGCAGGGAAGTCAACTTTTTCAAGATATATGGCCTAGTAAGTGGCAAATCTAGGATTTAAATTCAGGGCAACCCAATTTCAGAAAGCACTGGGCAATAAAACCAAAAACTAAGGGCAGAGTGCAGGGCCAGCATTCCTGGGACCCCTTCCGGGGGGTACTTTCTAACTGGCCTTTTGGGCCTGGGTGAGCTTGAACTGTATCTTACATGGAATTGCCTGATCACATGATTATTTTGATTTCATCACTAAACAGTGAGTCCTGTGGGCAGGGACCTTATCTGCTTTGCTCACCGGTGGTTCTCCAGCATCTCACCCAGAGCAAGGGCACAGTAAACAGTTGTTGAATTAGGTAGCGAACGAATCAGTGAATGAACTGGTGATCAATAAGTAACCATCTCTCATGGACACGCCTGCCTCTGTGGCATCATCATTTGTTCTGAGTGAATGGGTGCAGGGATGTTCCCTGCTTGTGCCTGCGGTGGGGGTAAGCCTGATAGGATGGTGGCTCTGCTCTGGGAACTTCTCCTTTTCTTTCTGCATGTGGGAAGCAAGGGAGGGGAATGGGAGGAGGGATGCTAGAAGGATTCAGAAAATAACAGGAATGATGGTAGGAGCCAGACTAAGTCTGTATTTGGCCCATAAAAGTCTAATGACTATAATAACAAAAAATATGAATGAAAAAATGGGGATAATTTAAAATTTTTTTAATGTTTTTATTTATTTTTGAAGGAGAGGGAGAGCACGAGCGGGGGAGAAATAGAGACAGAAGGAGACATAGAATTTGAAGCAGGCTTCAGGCTCTAAGCTGTCAGCACAGAGCCCGATGCAGGGCTCGAACTCACGAACTGTGAGATCATGACCTGAGCCAAAGTCGGACGCTTAACCGACTGAGCCACCCAGGCGAAAATGGGGATAATTTTAAATTTTTTTTTCAACGTTTATTTATTTTTGGGACAGAGAGAGACAGAGCATGAACGGGGGAGGGGCAGAGAGAGAGGGAGACACAGAATCGGAAACAGGCTCCAGGCTCTGAGCCATCAGCCCAGAGCCCGACGCGGGGCTCGAACTCCCGGACCGCGAGATCGTGACCTGGCTGAAGTCGGACGCTTAACCGACTGCGCCACCCAGGCGCCCCTAAAAAATGGGGATAATTTTAAAAGAAAATATGTCAAACATATTACATGTTTTCATTTGTTGACACATTAACAAAGCAGATTTCCCTATAAAACACATCCTGCACACAGCTAGGAATTCAGTGATTGAGT